ATGCTTCTACACTGCAAAAGCAACGATGTTCAACATAATGGACACAACTGAATATCATGACCAGACAAGCGTATTTTCTTCTTTTCAGTCCAGATCATGTTCTGTATTCTGATAAACATTAAGTACAAAGCAAAAGATCATCTTATTTCCATTTTCATCAGTGAAAACCAATGTTATCGGTCTCATTCAAATAAAGAGAAATACACTTTTATTCATAATACAATAGGTATTGATGTATCGAGTTTGATTCGGATAGGTTCTAGTTGATCGTCACTCAAAGTTATTTTTGTAAATTTGAACTTTATGCATAAAAAATGATAGGAAACGAAAGTTAAAAGGCATTAATTGCCTTCACCAGAATACTAATTTAATCTTTGCGAGATATTTGATACAAATATTAAAAGTGTGAAAGTAATAATTGAAAAACATATATCATTTCTCTTGATTTGTGTTTTATATTGTTTATAAATCCAGAATTCATTTTCTCATTCTAGATTTTGCTGCACGCACTGAAAAATTAGTTATTGAATTATGGCTGCAACTGTCAGTATCGATGATAATTCTCGTTTACCAGAAAATGTTCTGGAATTAGAAGGAGATGATTTCTATCGATTTACAAAAAGTATGAGTGGTGCATTATTGACTGAAGTACTTGAAATACAGGATATTGATTCAGTTTTTATATTTTTACAAACAAGTGATATTTTTGAAATATTCCAACATGATTCTACAATATTACGAGGTTTGAAATCAAAAATAGGTTTCGATTCAAATGATGGTACATTTCAAGTCAAACTTGGTTTAAAATTGCAATACGAATATTTATCAAAATTATTGAAATCAAAATCAGATCAGAAATATACAAAATCGTCGTCTCTTACATCTGAAAAGATTGATATACTACTTCGAAAACATTCAATTCTTCTTTCACTTCTCAATTTCTATGAGAATGAAAGTACAACAAATGATCAACATGAATTTTTATCCCTATTTATAAATACTATAACGAAAAATTTATCTTTATCTAATACGAGTCGATATAGATATGATGACAAATTGAAAAGTTTTGCTGTTTGCTTGTACATACTTGGAGGAAAGACAACTTATGAGTTTGTCCGATTAAATTTGC